ACTCTGCCCTAGGTAAGGCATTAAAATGTTTACACTAATTAGAGCAATACTCTGCAACAGTATTAAAAGAATTGATATATGAGGAATTTGATATAAACAGCAGTAATCACCACATGATTTAATGATCAGAACAACAATTTGGTCACAATTAGAATATCAATAAACATTGAGTAAAGCTGTAAGAGCTTTACTGGCTGCCTTCTCCACGTGGCCACTCTGGGTCCTTGCCTACCTTCTGTTTTCTTGATGAAAATCTCTGGGGTCTCCCAAAGACAAAGCCCCATCTCGATACTCTGCATCCACATCAGTAACCAAGACGCCCAGCCCAAGTCCTCAAGTTTTGAGCCAGAGACGCCACAGTGAATATAGGGGATGAGCACGATGAGAACAAAGTGGGCCAAGACCATGGAACTGACCAATAGCCAAGTAATGGCTGGGAAGTGGAACTGAGTAAGAACCTACAACTCTAGTGGTTCTTACAGCATTGAGTCAAACTGCTTCTCCATGAAAATGTTAGTAACACCTGACATTTTCTCTGGGCAATTTAGAAGCAGTGGCTGATCGCTTGATATCGAACTACTAGCTTTAAATTGAAAATTTCTAGAAACTTCTAAAGTAGGAACAATGTTCCTATAAAACATTCAGAATGCAGAAAACACAATAAAGGTCTAAACTAACTTAGGTTTAGCTGATACATTTGAAGAAGCTAGGTATATAGACATAGGCCTGAGACAATAGGCGCGTCATTTCTTTCTTTTTTGATCCTTGTAACAGGCTCTTTGTAGTCATTGTTGTTGTTATACTTTTTATGTATGTTTACTTCAGTTGAAGACAATACCCTTCCTTGGTAGATCTAGAGGCTGAAGACACCATCAACCTTTGGTTTCTACATCCCTGTATCAACTTTTTATTTTCTGAACAGGGTATCGATTAGAGATTGACTGTTAGGTCACTGGGTGAGATGGCTTGGTTTTAATTTTCTCTGCTATGAACTCAACTCATATACAGAAACTAATTAAAAAGAATCACACCTTAATTAAAAAAAAATCGCTGATGCTTGGCTTAACTGTCAGAAATTAAATAATGACCATTTGGCATAATTGGTGTGATATGTGAGTGAGATCAGTAGAACTGGCAACAGCCAGGAATATGGGATAGAAAGCCAGGGAAGGTAGGGTACTGAGCTCTCAGCTGACTCGTTCTGCTCTAGGCCATCCTTGTCTGTGAATTCACAGCCTTTCCTTTCTCTGGGGGTCTCCAAAAGTGAGCGCCCGGGGCTGTCTCTGCATGTTTCCTGCTTTGCTCTGCTTAGAATTCCCATCAACTTTTTATGCCTTTAACTCCAAGGTACTCACCAACTTAGCCTCTCTTCCTGATGGCCCTCCCATTTCATGCTGCATGTCTCAAACTTGTACACATCTATTGTCATTTTAAATTCAACATGTTCAGAACCAAACTTAGCACTACTCATTGACTCCCCTTCCTCCTTCCTCCCCTCCCCCACTTAAAGGCACTGTGCTAGACCTGTGCACAGAGGAAGGTAAGATGCCCCTTGACCTTGAGGAGATCAGTGTTAGTTCCCAAATTGGAGATCACAACTTATGACTCAAAAGGGATTAACACGATCTACCCCGATATCCTTAACTTTGTACACAAGGCAGCTAAAGGTAGATGAAATCACTTGTTTAAGGTTGCATGTGCTACTGGCCAAGCTAGGAGACTTCCTAATTTCTACCAAAGACCACACCATCATTCTCCCAGTCACCCTAGTTCAACTGGAGAAGACACATGATATATCTCAACCTCGACCGCCAATCAATCAAAAAATTTGTAGTGTATTTCTTCTGAGCATCTCTTACATCAGCCATTTCCATTGCTCTCTATCACTGGGCTCCAGTGTCAGCATCATCCTCACACATCACCTTGAACTTGGCTGCAGAGATGCTCAGTCTCCCTGGCCCCTCCTGCACCAGCATGTTTCCTTTACCTGACCTGCATGTACCAACCATCCTACCTCTGCCATGTGACTGGGATACTCTTTCTCTAAGCTCCAAACAGTCCTGCTTCTGCCCTGAAGGAGTTTCAGACACCCTCACCCTGCTATGTGGGAAGGGGCTGTGGTCATGGGGACACAGTGCTTCAACTCTATCACCTGGAGAATCACCTTCTGTTAGAGCAGCATTTCCCAAATTGATCTGATTACAAAACTTCCTTTTTGCCAAGGGCCTCCCATTACCACCCTTCAGATGAAGGTTTACAGGAACACCCTTGGGGAAGACAGTATCCTGTAGCTACAGCATAACAGTTGACCAGGCAGCCTGGATTTCTTCTGTATTCTTTCCTTATCTTACTTATTACACTGTCCATGATTTACCACTCCAGATTAACTGGTCATGTCACTGCTCTTTAATAAGCCATAAATGTAGTAATTTCCCTTTTCTTGGTAGTCATAATTTCTGCAACTGGAAATTTTCTCCTCCTTCCTTTCCATTTAACTAAATCTTACCCTTTCTTTAATATTCAGCTCAGATCTCATCTATAAATCTTTCCCAACTCTCTGATAGAAAATTCATGTAACATTTATTTACTTGTAATGGAAAATCAAGATTTCAACAGTGAAAAACACCCAAGTTCACTTTTGGGTCAAGTTGTTAATGAAATGACAGAATTTTCCCAACTCATACCTTCAAAACTAATTTCAAAGTGTTACAATATTACACTCACAAACACAATCTTTAAATGAGAGGGGGAAGGAGATGTAATATCATTAAATAATTCACTATATCTGACACTGAGTTCTCTCGTTATGATTAGAAAAACTTCAGGAAGACTCATGCCTTTATTTTCATTTTGTAAAAATTGTCACGAACCAGCTAATGAATACTATCATAAGAAGAAAGTCTGGAAAGTGAACATAAAAAACAAAGTCATTTTAAGACACCATGAAGGCAGCTTGTCCTCTAAGTGAATATTATCCTCTTTCTGTTTCTAGTATTTTTGTCATCCTATATAAAAAAAATTAACTGATTTATTTAAGAGGTACTGTTTCTGTGTATCACTATTTAAAGAAAGTGCCATTCTCCCTGTTGGTGAAAGAACAATATCCAAAGGATAATTTTTGGAATTCAAAAGCAATCATTTTAAATACCATATTTCAACAAACATATGTCCATCAAGAAGCTTTGGGTTATGGGAGTGAAGCAACCTTAGACTTTCTACCTCTGAAGCGGGAACGGACAGGAGTCTGCTGTGGGCCTTTCCAGCTTGTCCTGCCCACCAATGTTTGTAATTCCAGCATTCAGACCTCACCCACTTCCAGAAGAGGCAAGAAACTGCACTGTAGGCATCAGCTTGGATCTCTGGGAGCAGCTGGAAGACTCTTGCTCCTTTCTGGAACTTTCCTAGTTAAATGTCTAAGACCACATGGCTAGTTGCTCTCCTCTATCTTTGTGCAAGTAAACCATTTCTTTTTCAGACTTATAAAGCCTTCTTGACTTTTTCAACACCTTTGGGCCTGACCTATTTTCACACTGGTGCCTGTCCTTTCAACACTGTATGTTCACCCTGATTTAATTTCTTGCTAGTTTAACCCGTTAATGAAATCACTTTGCTTTCTTGAGCCTGGAGCAGTCTTCTGAAATAATAGAAAATTCAGCCACAACCCATATCTCCAACCTGATTTTCTTTCCTAAGCCCTTTACTCCAAGCAAATAGGAGACTTGACTGAGTCTTGCATACATATCCGCAGTTTTATTCTTCAAAAGTCCCATCCTATAAGACCCAGTTTGAGGCTCTGCTCTCAAGAAACTTTCCCTAACTTCTCAGCCTATGAAAGTCACCTCCCCTCTGAACACAAGCACTAACTATCTTTCAAGTTATTCACATGGCGGGTCCTACATAACATTAGTCCCAATGTGTGTCTGCTGGAGGAGCGCTCTGTCTGGGAGATTCACAAACCACATGAGCTTATCAAAGACATCAAGAGTCTTACAGCAAAGAAACCTTTCAAACAATACTTGAAACTAGTTCCCAAGACTTATTTAATCATGGGATCCCTTTTCAATGTCAAATCCTTTAATAACAATTTGAAAGAACTGAAACACAGGTCTGCAGGAGCCAGTGGGATTTTCCACAAGTGACCCTGTCCCTCTGCCCATGTCTCCACTGCTCTGAGTGGGGACAGTTGGTGGCGCTGACCAGACCTCGGACCTCTCAATCCCTGCTGTTGTCTCCATGCCCACGCCATTCTGTGCTTGCTAAGTGTGAGATCATGCACACCACCTAGTGAACAGTAAGTTGGGAAGACACTGGCTGCTGTCATTTGGAGGCAGGAGGGCAGGATGGCCAAGAGTTTGGCTGTGGAATCAGACACCCGCTGGTCCAATTCTCACCAGAAGGACTGTAAGGTCTGTTTTGTAAGCCTGGGACACATACAGGCCTGGTACAGAATGTACAGTCATTCAGTGTTTATTGAGTGAGTTAAGGGCAAGCAGTTCTCAAGCAGAGTGATTCTGCCCACCAGGGGCTACCTGGCTGTGCCCAGAGACAGTCTGGGTTGACAAAGCAGCCTCTGGCACACAAAGGTCAGGGAAGCTATGAAACACCTTTAATTCCAGACAATGCCCAGGACAAAGAGCAGCCAAGCCCCAATGTCAACAGTGCTTCTCTAGAGCAAGACTACTCAGTGACAAATTTCTAAAGACTGACATGGTTTTTAGTAAGTTATTGAATTTCTTTAAGGTTATAGTAAGACAAAACATAGCAAATAATGTCTATCAAGTATCTCACTCACTGACTGAGACAAAGAAAGCATGCCCTATAAATGTGACCTCGGAGAATGAACATTAACCTCATTTAAGTCTCTTAACCATGACGTGGCTCTTCGGATGGAATCTTTACGGTCTCAGGAGTCACTCTATCAACCCCAAAGCACTCACATCAAAACAAGGCTGCCCTCCCACTTGTGTTTACTGTCTGATCATAATTTTTTATGTGCTTACCAGGGGCTCAATAGTGAAAGTTTTGTTCAAGAAGAGCATGCTGTCTGCCTGAACCAGCCTTCTCTGGTTCTCGAAGGTACGGGAGAGAATGGTAAGACGTTCTCGGAGTAAAGGATCGTCAATGCATTCTTCCAGAAACTCATCTTTCTCATTCTTTTCCTCTTTGGTCAGATCATTGCAGATCCTAGGGAAGAAAAGGAGATGTGAGATTCATTTGGAGACCCATGAAGAACTTTATAAAGGGGTGCCCCTCCAAGCCATCTTCCTCAGGGCTCACCCCTCACCCTGGGGGCGGTGCCTCCTTGCCCTGAGTCTGTTAACAGAGCGGTACTATCTATCGGAGTGACCTATCCTTTAACCCCTCATGAGCCTCTGTTTGCTCATCTTTAGTCGCTTCCTTCAAGAAGTTCATCCCCCAGGGCTTCCTGCCCGACTAAAGCCGGCTTGCTTCTTTCCGAACTTCTCTGTATTCAAATGTTTTCTTTTTGGCAATTGTGTCTTCCAGGCTGCTTTGTAAATATTTGACATCTATCCTGCCTCATTTCAAACTTCACATTTCAAACTTTGTTTCTTTTAAATGTTCTCAGTTTTAATTCCTTCTCAGCTGTTACCTAGGGACCACAAAGAAGGTGCGGACGTGGACACTACTGCCACTTGCTGGGTCTGTGACATTGGAGTCTCTTTGTCCCACAAGGAGCTCATCCAGTATCAAGACATGTTGAGAATTTAATATGATCAAGGGACAGATGCAGTTAAAAGAACAAAGCAGGTGCTCAATCAAGACCCATTTTCTCCCTATGTCAAGCATAGTCAGTTATCAAGTTGCTCAGCTTATAAAATGTTCAGGTTACACCTAAAGGCAGCTGCTTCTCTCTCTCTAGCACTTTGCATATACCGTGCTAAATCAGAAAAGCAGCCTTCTCCAGCCCTCTGCTCACGGCACTCAATCCTCACTGGAGTTGTTTCACATTACTCCTGGTATCAGTTACTTCACCTGAACTTGGAAGGTTGCAGTTTCTCTCCTTTCAGGGCCTGCGACCATTTCCCCAGCATTTTGCTGTCATTACCAGTGGTAAGAGACAAAGCGCGCACAGGAGAGCCTGGCATCGCTGCACTCCCACCCCACCCAACCAGTGTCCAAAGACTGCATGCGAACCACGGGCTCTGCATTGTCAAATGACATTATTTTAAAATTATTTTTAAAAAAATAATTTACATATTTTACAGCATTGTTCACTTTTTTAACAGTGTTTGTTTTCTTTTCTCTGGTGTAGTCCCCATAAAATTCCCCGCACCAGATCACCCATCCACCATTATCACAGCTCTTGTTTTGATCCTCCTCCCTCCCACTCCCCCACAGAATGTCTCTGATTTATAGTTGTCTGTTTACTTTTGTGTGTTGTGTTTTTATTGTTATTATTGTTTTCCCTGATCCCTTATTTGGTTATAACTTTAGCGTTCAGGATCTTTTGCTCACACAAAAGAAATAAATATAAATAAATATAAAGAAATTGAATAAATGGGTTTCATGTGTTCTGGTCTCAAGGAATAAAGAAGCACTTTGTACTTCCTTTTTATTGCCAGATGGGAAGCAGTGTCCAAGGTAACCAGAGCAGCAGTTCCTCTCTGCTGCTGGGCAGAGAGGTGCCAATTAAAGGCAGCTCAGTCTACAGAAAGAAAGGATTTCTGTGAGTGGGATTTGTTCATACCTATCTTTAGAAATAAATCCTACAGAAACCATCAAGGATGTAAACAAAGACACAGCTGCGAGATGTTCATCAAAATACCTGCAACCATAAAGGGCTGTGGGGAAATGTGGCATGAGATTGAAGGATTGGTTAAACAGATAAAAGGAAGTGGACCTTACATATACTTAGGGGGAGAGAATGGGAATGAGATGTGGGGTGTGGGGTAGCCCGAGGATGGTCCTGCTTGTGTGAAGGAGACCTTTGCACCGCAAAGCAAGAGAACAAAATGAAATTCCAGAATGCTGCTCTTCTCCCATGCTGCTGGGACTCTTGAATCATTATCAGGCATGTTATGCAGAGCGCAGGTGCCTGCCTCTTTACCACTGATAGAGAATTGGTGCCCAGGCTGCGAGTCTAGGAAGGGACTGTGCAATGACCTTGAGCTGGCATAACTCTGTCTATTGTTCTGCCAGCTTGCCCTGCTGAGGTTCAGACATGGTTCAGTTTTACAGATGACACCTCTCATCAGACAGCATAACTACACACTGTCTTGTCTTTCAGTAAATCCTCTGGATTTACCCATTTTACAACTGGTCTGGGAGCCACAAACATCATCTCCTAAAGGCGTCAAGTCCAGTCCCTCCTGTGGGGTGTGGTCAGCAGGGAAGACCTGTGTCTCGGGTACAGTGACACTGAACAAGCACCTTATCTTCAGGTGCTGGGGACCTGCACGTGGCCCTTGCAGCGGTCCCAAGAAGTGCTAACTGGACTAACAATTAAGAATCATAGAAACACCCCCCATATCCATGCTTTGTCATGGAAAGGATGGAGCTATCCACCAGCAATTGTGCAATGTCGGTTATAAACCGAGGACTAGAGATCTTCTTCCTATTTACCAAGTCCCACTAGGGTTTTCAGGTTCTTATAAGGGCGTCAAATACAACTGAGATTAAAGTTAATACTATCCAGGTGGCTGGCTCAAAGTGTCTAGATAGATAGACAGACAGACAGATGGGCAAACAGACAGACAGATCTCTAGTTTTTAGAGACACATAATTTCCAATACCAGAAATGCTGTCAGAAAAAATCCATGCTGACCACCCTGTGGAGGCTCCAGTGAGAATTCCTGGACTTCTTGTAGAGAGCAAAGCCAGAATTAGTGCCAGTTGGTATGGCCATGACCTTGATGGCAAAATGGGGAATGGAAATCTGATGGGAATGAGTATGAAAGGACCTTGTAGAATGTTTCATAATCCATCAGGACATGGTGGAGGAAGTGAAGAGGGATACGTGCAGCCTACATTGCTGAAGAGCTACATTCTCTGTAAGCCCCAGGAAAACATCAAGAAATGGATTTTAAAGATAATTTTTTGACAGTCTCTATATCTAATTCAGAATGTGTGTACACATGTGTGTATTTAGTAAAAATTTAAAGTGTAGACCTGCTAGAGTTTGGAACCTGGAATTTGCCTGATGGTCCCCAAACCTGGCCTAAGGTTTTTACCAAGATGCTGCAGGTGGAAAGGCATGGAAATGGGAAAGTGCCAAAAAGATTGGGACTTCCTGTTCTGGAGAAGGACTGAAACTCCACCCTGGGAGGAAAGATCCAGCCAGGTCTGCTTGGGCACATCACTGAGAGCTGGAGGACAAGAACCCCGGGGGCTGGAGAGGGCTGAGGATGTGGGCGTTCAGCAGCTGTGGAGGATGCCTCGGGACAAGTTCTGAAACTTGCTCTACGCGGAGAGCAGCAGGCAAACTCCTACATCTCACATAAAAATTTACACTGCATTTTTAAAGCTTAGGCCCTCACGGTATTGCAAAGAGAAACTTCACTCTCCAAAAGCATCCATAAGCCCTTTTAGATTAGATTCTCTCTGCTTCAATTCAGGGTGAAAGTTGGTTTTTCTCTCTATGTATTTAACTACAGAGGCTGCTGCAAGAGGAGGAGGAGAGGAAGGGGCTGTTCACCAGCAAGAGCAGAAGAATCCTACAAAGGAGCATTCCAGGGCTGCCTCTGGTCTTGCTGGGGAGCTGGAGGGAGGGTTTATCCCACTAGCTAAAAAGCCCACTGCTGCTTCTCAGAGGTGAGCAAACCTCTGGCCATAAGCAAGCTACCAAAGAACAATCTGCCGTCTGCCACTGCGGACAGCTGAGACTCAGGCCGTGACTTGCGTTATGGGGCTACAGGCACAGCAGCACTACTGCTACCTACACAGGGCAACAGTGTGGACTGAATGTTCCAGAACCAACCAACTTTTCAGCATTCACCTTGCTTTCCAAAGGACAGGCATTCCGTGGTCAGTGACAGCCCGGAAAAGAACCCACGGCTAATAATATGAAAGTCCCAGCATGCCTGGGGATGTACCGCGGAAAGGGAGGTTATGAGAGATGAGACACCCAGTCAAGTTGTAGAGTGGGGTAAATGGCTTAGTCCTTTCTTTTCCCTCTAAAGCTCTCCTCTTGCCCTTAGCAACTTGCCCTTGGAGAGGGGGAAGAAAGTGTGCTTTCGACCCTCACTTTACTTAGATGAATTAACCAATCCAGTTTGGAGTGGTATGTGTCACCCAAAGGAAACCCAAAGGAAATATGCAGCAATGCTTACTGAACCATCCTAAGTCAGTTCATCACATACGGAGAGGAGTAAGTCATGGTTATGAAAACACTATCCTACCATTCCCTTGCTACAGAAAAAAAGTGCTAAAGGACCTAGTAGAGCAAGAGAGGGAGAGTAAAAGGAAGACAATGAAAGAAACTCGCTTTCCAAATGTTGAACTGGAGCTAAAGCGGCAGCAGCTGCTCAGAAAACACTGTGCCAATACCTTAGGGCACCCATGCCAGGAGGAGGAGGTGGGAGAGCTCTCTGCAGACAAAGCGCCTATACCGAGTCTTTAAGAGCGGGCTCAGAAACTGGCGCCTTTGTGTCCCTTGGCAGGAGGGCAAACAATGACAGCTGCTGGATGGGTCCTCAGAACCTTCAAAGCAGAACTGCCTTTTTACCCAGCAATTCCCGGAAACAGGGTCTTGACAAGGAACACGACACCCATGTTCACAGCAGTGTTATTCCCAGCAGTTAAAATGTGGAACTAGCCAGATGCCTGCTGACAGGTGAAGATGCACAATGTGGCACATACATAGGAGAGAATATTACTCAGCCTTAAAGAGGAAGAACATTCTGCAGTCTACTATGTGAGGGAAGTGAAATAAGACAGAAAAGTGACAAAAAAGACAAGCGCTACATGATTCCACTCATTTGTGATCCTTAGAGATAGTCAGAATCCCAGGGACAGAAAGTAGAATGCTGGCTGCCAGGCGCCAAGTGGGGAAACGCAGAGTGACTGCTTAGTGGGCACAGAGCCCTTTATAAGGCGAAGGGCGCGTAGAGTTGAGAGGTCATGGCTGCGCATGGTGACTGGGCCAGACACATCGGACTGTACCCTCAGGCATGGTTACGCTGGTCCACATCTGTTATGGATTACGAGACAAAACAAGAGAAAAGGAAGTCGAAGAACCAAGGGTGGTATTAGAGATAGTGGTGTAAGGGCTATGACTTAGCATCTCTGGTAGTGATTGGCTGGAAATTTTCTTGAGTTTCACTATAGAAAATAACTGTCTTAAAAAAAGAACAAAAAGGCCCTCCCTGGTGGTGCAGCGGGTTAAAGCACAGCACTGAGAAGCTAAAGCCACTTCAGCATGAGTTCAATCCCTGCCTGCCCCGCGGTGACCCACATGGCGTGGCAGACCTCTCCTGACCCGCTGCTCCCCTCAGCAGTGTACTTCGTGATCTGCCTGTTCTGCTCCCCACCCTGTCCCTGGTGAAGCCTCTCACCGCCCCTGCAACTCTGGCCTATATCCCAGTTCTGTATGCATACATAAATATTAAAAAAAAAAAAAGAACAACAACAAAAACTGGGCAAGTTGACCACAGACCTGAGGAAGGGGAGGGGAGAGAGAAGGGTGAGCGCAGGGGCGGGAAGCATGCACGGGACTGCAGAGAGGACCGGGGCGCTAGGGGACAACAAGCTGAGTTCTGTACAAAAGTGAACAACGTATGCAAGTAAATTAATATTAAAATAATAAAAGAACCTCCTTAAATGCTTTTGGGACATTGGCATGACGTCCACAACATCCCGTGAGGCCAAACAGTGACACAGAGAACACAGAAGGCAGCCCTCCTCGGCGCGCTGGTTCTCCCCGGGGTCTGGCACAGGGGGAGGGCACGAAGCCGGCCTTGCCCGCTGCATGTTCTCTGTGCCCGTTCTCGCGTCCTATCTGTAACTGTGCTCGGGCCATCCTGGCTGCTGGTGAGCGGGCAGTTGGACAATCAGGACCGAAGGAGCGCGCTGGAGAAGGAATGGGTGTTTCTATACTGTGAGGCAAAATGAAGTTTGGGGCTGGGAAAAGCTTTTCTTCTCTCACTTTTAAAGATGGCACAGTGGCGAGCCAGTGATTAAAGCTCATTGTAGGAATGACAACGCTTCTGGTCCACCGTGTCCTGTCATTGTCACAGCTCCTTCTGATTCAATTAGGGGCTGCATGCTGGGGGAGTGGTGCCTGGCTTCCGTGGACCTGAGACTTATTTTTATCACATGCTAACTTGGCTTTAAACAAAGCTTTGAAGCTTCCCAGGGTAATGAAAATGGAGAAGCAAATAAAAAAGGCTGAAATAACTTCCATGAACACAGCAGATGTGCTCATTCAAGAGGATAGAGGAGGTGAAAATGAAGATGGGGTTTCAAAGAGGCAAGGACAGGGCTCAGGAAAAAGAGGTATTCAAAATTTGACAGTGATGAGATTAATTACGACCGTGTGGTTTTCCATTTTATGAATGTTCTCCATTGCTGAAGTATCATTTTAAAAAGAAGATTAAAGATACCAACAAGAAATCATGGTTAAATTGCATGATGAGAGGGTGTTGAACAATGCTGATAAAACAGAACATGGGACCTTCCTGGTAGCACAATCTGTTAAAGCACAACACTGAAATTACCTGAAGCCACTGCAACACAAGTTTGATTCCCAGCCAGGGAGGTGACCCCCATGGTACAGCAGACCTCTCCTGTCTCACCCACTGTGCTCCTCAGCAGCGTATTTCAGTTAATTTGCCTGTTCTGCTCCCCTTTCTGTCTCTGGTGGATCCTCTCACCCTACCCCACCCCCACCCTCTGGCCATAAAAATAAATAAATATATATATTTTTTAATTATAACCAAATTAAGACTTTCTGAAGATGGACAACATTCTGTGCCACATAACTCCATTCCAGCTTTTTTTTTTTTAAGAAGTTAAAGCTGTATGCTTTTTTTTTAAATAAGATTTATTTGTACATACAGAACTGGGGTATAGGCCAGAGGCTCGGGGCAGCGAGAGGCTTCACCAGAGACAGAGTGGGGAGCAGAAAAGGCAAAGGGAGCAGCTGGAAGGTCAAGAAAGGTCTGCCACGCCATGTGGTCACCCCCGGGGCAGGCAGGAATTGAACTCATGCAGAAGTGATTTTTAGCTTTTTAACCTGCTGCGCCACCAGGGAGGGCCTTTTCCAGCATTTTTTAAAAAGACTTATTTATTTATGCATATTAAGAACTAGTGTACAGGCCAGAGGTATGGGGGAGATGAGAGGATTCACCAGAGACAAAGTGGGGAGCAAAACAGGCTGATGGAATGAAATACACTACGTAGGGGGGCAGCGGGCAGGACAGGAGAGGGCTGCCGTGCCATGTGGGTCACCTCCCTGGTGGAGGGATCAAACTCATGCTGCAGTGGCTGCGGATAGCTTCACAGCAGGGACGGCCTGCCACATCCTCTCCCGCAGCACCTAAGTGAGAAATCCTTAGAGCTTGGCATGGTCAAGGTACCGGGCACACGGGAGGAAATACGTGGCCCTCCAAGAATAGAAGAATGGCTGATTCTTGAATGGTCACTTAACTTGTTGATTTGTTTTCTGATTCTGTTGATGCACAACAACAACAACAAAATGCTATGGATACTGTGCTTCGTTTCTAATGATACTCTTGACAGGAATGTAACTTCCTCTATTCTCGATACTGATTTACTTCTGAGAAACTCCCTTACAATCTTTAATTCTATTATGCGATTAACTCCTATATACCAGGTGGTTTGTGAAATGAATAGAGAGAGTAATTAAAAGGATTAGAAAGGCATAGGTGATAGATAAGGCATTTGTTTAGCAGCACTGAACCTTGAATACACAGTAGTTTCCTAGGGCCCCGTGTTGGTCTCAGGCCCCTGGTAACATCACAGAAACAAAAAGACATTAATGTATTACCTGTCATGCTTCTATTGAAAAAATCATTGTACCCCTATATTTGCTTGCCAAGAAAAATTGTATAAATGCTCTGCACTCTTAAAAATAAATTCCATTCAGATATGCACTCCTAGAAGTCGTGTCTGTCACTCAACCTCATCCTTGTCCACCCTGCGCCAGAATTGCAATCCCTGAAACTTGTCTCCTGCTCCTGCTGCGCTGGTCCGCAGCAACAGCCCTCAGTTCCAGCTCTTTAAATGAACTTCTCCAAGGGAGCATCATACATTAGAACCAAATTATAAAAATGTGACATCATTCAAGTTAGCTAAAACCTTACTAGAAATCTGACTGATTTTTCCTAATAAATGAGTTTTGTGCTCCTCCGTCAATTATAGCAGAGAGGTGATTTTTCTTACAAACCTGTACTTTTCTCTGTCCTCTTCTTCCTGGGTAGCAAATATCTTCCACTGGAAATGGGCGATGATGTTACTGCGGTTGTGAATAGTTACAGTCCGCTGACTGGCTAGAGATATGTAGGTTTTCTCAATGATCAAGGAGTTCTTATCCAGTCTTATATTCATGTCTACAGCAGCTCCATATAGAGATATAAACACTTTTTCTCCTAGGAATTAACAAATCATAAACACACTTAGAGATTTATTCTAGAACGATGCTACCATGCTATTTCCCAATAGCCCCCAAACCCAAGGTGAAGATAAAGAATGTAATATCAGCACAAGAAATCTTATTCCTTTTTCTCTCCTTCAATCCAGAGATCAGACATGATCAGAAAACTTGAATTTTGCTGTTTGTTTGTGGATATAGAGAATCAAACTCTCTTGACTGGCCGTGGTAAAAATATATATAAAATGTTATGGTTTCCTACTTTTTCTTCTTTTTAATAGTTTTATTTTTTTCTTATTCTGACCAGTGATGTCAGTAGTTAAATTCATATAGTGTGAACTGAATTAACAATAATTACACAGACTTTGTTAAAAACATAGATTTCACCTCGCACCATACACAAAAATCAACTCAAGGTGGATTAAAGACCTAGACATAAGAGCAGAAACCATAAAATACCTGGAAGCAAAGATGGGCCAAACACTACACAACATACACTTCAGCGACATCTTTGAAGATACAGCACCCAATGCAACAATAGTAAAGGGAAGGAGAAACAGATGAGACTGCATCAAGTTAAAGAGCTTCTGTACAGCAAAAGAGACATTACAAAAAACAGACATCCCACTGATTGGGAAAAAATTTTCTCACACAAAACTAGCAATAAAGGATTGATCACAAAGATATACAAAGAACTGATGAAATTCAACAAAAATAAACAACCCCATCAAAAAATGGGCAGAAGAGACTTCTCCAAAGAGGAAATGCAGATGGCCAACAAGCATATGAAAAAATGTTCAACATCACTTGTAATAAGGGAGATGCAAATTAAACCCACAATGAGATACCACCTCACCCCAGTGAGAATGGCACATCTTCAAACAACTAGCAACAACAGATGTTGGTGAGGATGTGGAGAAAAAGGAACTCTCCTGCACTGCTGGTGGGAATGCAAACTAGTACAACCACTATGGAAAACTGTTTGGAGGTTCCTCAAACTGCTTAACACGGAGCTTCCCTACGACCCAGCAATCCCACTCCTAGGTATCTACCCAAAAGACACAAAAACACTGATTGAAAAAGATAGCTGCACCCCCATGTTTATTGCTGCTTTATTTACAATTCAAAAAACATGGAAGCAGCCCAAATGCCCAAAAGTAGATGACTGGATTCAAAAGATGTGGTACATATACACAATGGAATAGTACTCAGCAATCAAAAAAAAAAAACACAAAAAACAGCAAACAAACAAACACAGGCCTTTTGCAGCAACATGGATGGAGCTGGAAAAGATCATGCTTAATGAAATAAGCCAGAAAGAAAAGGAAAAATACCAGATGGTTTCCCTCATAGCAGGAGTATAATGGACCAGGTGAGAAAATAATAATAATAATGAGCATCTATATACCAGAAACATTTTATGGGGTATGGGGGTGGAGTGGGGAATGGGGTCAAAAACAGTGGGGGGAGCAAAATACACTGGACTATGGTGATGGCTCATGGGTGATTTGGTGGTGGGAAGCCCAAGGGGATTACAACTGAGATGGAAAAATGTACAAAATGATGTAAAAACAAACTATTATATGATTTAAAAAAACAAAAACAAAAACATAGATTTCAGGCTCTCCCTAGTGGCAAAATGGGTTAAAGCACTGCATTATGAAGCTCTCTGAAGCCATGCAGCATGATTTTGATTCCCCACCAGGGAGCTGACCCACATGGCGTGGCAGACCTCTCCTGACCCATCCCGTGCTCCCCTCAGCAGTATTTTAGTAGATCTGCTTGGTCTCTTCCCCACTCTGTCTCTGGTGCATTCTCTCACCCACCACACTTCTGGCCTGTACTCCAGTTCTATAAGCATCTTTAAAAAACAAAACAAAACAAAAAAACCCCGCAGATTTCTATGCCTTACTTATAAGGTTCCTAGTAGGCAGAGAAAATAGTAATTTTGGACAAACTTTAATGATGATTCTGTGTTTACAACATGCAGATTATACTATTTTTGAGACACAGAGATACACCAATAAAGATGGAATCCTTCAAAGCATTTTTTAGTGACAAAACAACTCTATTTTTCAATTTTCTGTTCCTTATGTCCCCTGTTCCTTCCTCCTTCCTTGCACTCTATGCACCTCAGAATCTTCACTTCACCTAATGATGTCTGCTAGGTTTTTAAGTATTTTACATTGTTAAATGGTCTGCTATGTAAGTGTCCAGTATTTGTCTTCGTCAGTTTGACTTTCTTTACTCCACATAGGTCTGCTTAACTCCTCCCATTTTTGCCATGAAGGGCAGTACTTCATCTTTCCTATGGCTAAACAGTAGCCCACCGTGTGGGAAGACCACATGGTCTTGGCCCAACCCTCTGTCAATGAGTATTTAGGCTGCTTTCATGTGCTGGCTATTATAAGTCGTGCTGCATTCATAACTTTATAATCAATATAATGCAATACCACTAAAAATCAAAGACAAAGTGAAAATCCAAAGAACAGCCAGTGAAAATAAGACATCATCAAAGAATTCACAGTTTAAATAATAGTTACCTTCTCAACTGAGACCATGAAAACTAAAAAAGCAGTGGATTGGCATCTTTGATATAATGAAGATGTATTTACTTATTTTTTGTTCTGTCTTCACTTTTTAAGGACATTTCAATGGGTAAAGGATTCCAAATTAACTTTTTCTTTCAGACCTGGATACTATTACTTTACTATCTTCTGACTTCCATAGTTGAAAAGTATACCTTCATCACTATTTTTAGGTCTTTAGGGTAATGTGTCTTTCCCCTGTGCTTTGGTTTTCAGCAGTATTTTGTAACAGTAAGGGTTTTCTGAGCTTTGTAAACACTCGGATCCATGTTACCATGATTTTTAGACATTGCCTAGACATTATTTCTTAGGCAATTTTTACCCCATTCTTTTGTTCCCTCTCTTTCTAAGAATCTAATTACAATTGGATTGCAATTGCAGTACAACTGGCTTTTGCTTTTCTGGTTTTGTTTTGTGTTTTATTTTTTCCTTTTTTTTTTTTTTATTTATCTCTAGGCTGCAATTTGTGCAATTTATATTGATATCGTTGTATCTTCAGCTATGTCCCTCTACTGTTAAAAATAGTACAATTAGGGGCCCTCCCTGGTGGCGCAGCGGGTTAAAGCACTGCACTGAGAAACTAAAGCCGCTTCCGCATGAGTTCGATTCCCGCCTGCCCCGGAGGTGACCACATGGCGTGGCAGACCTCTCCTGACCCGCCCGCTGCTCCCCTCAGCAGTGTACTTCATCGATCTGCCTGTTCTGCTTCCCGCTCTGTCTCTGGTGAATCCTCTCACCCTCCGCATCTCTGGCCTGTACCCCAGTTCTGTATGAATAAATAAATAAATCTTTAAAAAAAAAATAGTACAATTAGGCCTTAATTTCTAATGTTGCACTTTCAGCATAACACTGCTATTAAAAACTGACAAAGATAAAACAAACAAGTTGATAGACCTGTAAAGCCACAAATGAAAAATTAGCAATAATAATAAATTAGCACAGCAGGTTAAAGTGCAGCACTAAGAAGCTAAAGCCACTTCAGCATGAGTTTGATCCCCTCCCCAGAGATGATCCACATGGCACGTCAGACCTCTCCTGACCTGCCCACTGCTCCCCTTAGTGTACTTCGTCAGTCGGCTCCCCACTCTGTCTCTGGTGAATCCTCTCACTGCCTGTACCCCAATTCTGTAGAAATAAATAAATAAATAATGGTAGTTTATTTCAGAATGCAAGGATGGCTCACCATTAGAAAATCTATTAACATAGACTAGATTTAACAATATATAAGATCTCCATTCATGTTAGAAAAGAATTTTATAAAAATTTTAAAGAATTTATAAAAATGGGCCCTCCCTGGTGGCACAGTGGGTAAACGCAGCACTAAGAAGCTAACGCCACTTCAGCATCACCAAATTCACTCCACGAGGTGGGAAGGAATGGCACCACTTTGCCTTCCACAGCAATGTGTGCATGAGGATCCCTTTTCTCGAATAGTCTTGATAACAAATTATAGTCTCAAACTTTTGTTTTACCAATTTTATGGTAAACTCAGCATCAGTTCCACCCCCAGCCTCGGAGGTGACCCACATGGCGCGGCAGAACTTTCCTGACCCGCCCGCTACTCCCCTCAGCAGTGTACTTCCTCAGTCAGCCTGTTCTGCTCCCCACTCTGTCCCTGGTGAATCCTCTCACTGCCCCCTGAATCTCTGCTTTGTATCCCAGTTCTGTGTGCATAAATAAATACATCTTTTAAAAAATTTATAAAAACATTGAATAACATAGCAAATATAGAATTAAGATAATAGCATAATGTTTCCAAAATGGTAAGAACACAAAAAAATATATCAAGGAAATAGAAAAAGCCAAAACTAAACCAAATACATTGGTGTAAAACTAAGCTTTGTTTAAAAAAAATAGTATTGAGACAAGGTGGAAACCATACAGTAAAAAAAAATCATTCCTTATGTCTAATTATCAGAATAAATGGTAAATGAAATCAAATATTTAAATGTCAACATGAAAATATAAAAGTAAAAATATAGGAGAATTTCTCTATAATTTTAGAGAGGAGAAAGTTTTCTAAGTATGAGTCAAAATCTAGGTCCCTTCAAAAATGATTAAGAAATTTAGTTATACATAAAGGAAAAAATCTACATGTCACATAACTCCACAAGTAAAAATAAATGAAAAACTGGGGTAAATATTTGCTCCTTAGATCTGAAACAAAGGAATTAAGTCCACACATGCAAATAGCTCTCAGAAATCAATAAGATAATTCAATAGAAGAATAAAATAGTTGCAAAAAAAAGAAATATAAGGGATCCCTAGATAACATGCTCAACTTCACTGATGATAAAAAACAAACAAACAAACAAAAATAAAGATGTACTTCTATACCAATTCTCCCCACCCCATAAAATTGGTAAAACAAAAGTTTGAGACTATAATTTGTTAGCAAGACTATTCGAGA